TGTTCGTTCAGTGAGTACTTGTGGGGTACTTGCCACGTGTTGCACCATTTGAGCCCTGGAGGAAAAGGCTGTGGAAAAGAGAGTCCCAGCCCTGCTGTCACAGTTCAAATAAGCGCAGGAAAGGGGCCAGCAAGTCAGAGAACGGGTGGTGCTCCTCTCTGGGGACGGTGCTGCCTGTAATGAAAGCCCTGAAATGGGCCAAGGAGAGGAGAGGAGAGTTAACAGGGAGCAGGAGCCTGTAGCTCCGGAGCCTCTGAGAATGACAGTCTGGGACCTTCCATTCCAGTGATCACCAGGGACATCAGAATGAACACTCTCGTTGGACATTTTACTCTTTCCTCTCCACAATCTACCATAAATTGAAGGAATCCACGCAGAAGGGTGTGTTGTGTGCATTGCTCGGTTCATCATAGTTCTGGATTTCAGGCTCTGTCCATAGCCAGCCTTTCTCTGTGACACCAGCAGGGACTCTTTTTGTGCTGAGGTCACAGGCTGACATTTCAGACAGATGTTGTGGCAGCAAACACATCCTTCACCAGCCAACAGTGACAGGTCCACAGCGGTTCCCACAGAGGAGTCTAGAGAGAAATCTGTGTTTGTGCAGTGACAAACTGGCCTTATTGTGATTCTTAAATTGGTGGATATTTTAAAATAGAAGTGCTCGTGCTGAAATGTGTTCCACAGGCTTGACATAACGGAGGTGAGATCAAAACTCTCAACACCAAAAGCCACAGGTATGCACTGGCTTGACTCAGCCTTGCTGGTGTGCAGGGGGAATCATCAGGGATGGTTCATGGGCAGAGAACCACCAGGCATCTCATGGTAGGAACTTATACCCCTGGAGTGTGTCATCCTTAGACCATTCTGGGTTATTCTTTGCTCCTCAGACCTTAACTCTTAAACATGCCTTGGGTATTAGACTATTCATAAGGATGAGATGACTCATTAGCTGTTCTGGAAGGGTGAGACACAGGAGTAAGTGTCACAGCAGTTACTGAAGAAACAGTATGTAGAACATAGATTTTCCTTATTTACTTATATTTTCTCATAATAGAACAAGAACATTATTGATACACATGCAGCTGACCCACGTGCCCATGTGTACTCATCATCATCCTCTCTATCATCTCTCACCTGTCCAAACTTCATTTTGAAACAAGGGCCCCACTTGTCTTTAAGGGTTGCATGTGCTTTGTTCTTTTTAAGGTAAAAAGAGATGTCAAAGGCAGAGTGTGGAATTCAGTCTTCCTCTGCCTGAGTGCTGTGTCTGCCTTCGAGGGGCGATGTGAATGTGTCCAAGCTATTTATTCTTTCTCAGCCTTGTTTGCTCATGGGAATTCTGTGAAGAATGCTCCATCCCTGGTGCGGTTTTGTAAGATTTTAGATGTGTGTGGAAGCGTGGGGTACTGAGCAGGCACTGAAGCCGGGCGTGCAGTGCAGATGCCACCAGTGACTGTCCTGGCCGGAAAGGTGATAACGCAGCACCACCCCAGTAGTGCTGTTCCGTCATGGCTCTGTACTTCTCTGTCTCTGTCTATCTGTCTGTCCATCTCTCTGTTGGTATCTTTGGTTGAATGTTTTTGTTTTTTCTTTTAGCCTTCTCAAATATGCATGTCTTTAAAGAAAAGACACAGAGATTGTCCCCAGTTTTTTCCTACCCTGTGGCCACATCTCTTCCTGGTTTTCCATCATAAGCCTATGCAGCCACAGAGACTCTAAACACTGCTGACTCTTAGTCAAAAAACAGAAAAGAAGCACCTGAAAGAGAGTCCACTGAGGCGTGGTACTGCAGGGGCCTGGATCAGTCATGCTGGATCCCAGCCGGTCGGGTTTGTCACTGTCACTTAGAGTTGAGGGTGGAGTTGTCAGAGCACAGAGTGCTCTGGAGAGGGCTCGGTGCCGGTTACATGGAACGTGTGTGTGTGAGGTGCAGGGTCACAGGACTTGAGCCCAGTTGCGGGTGCTGTGGCTTGTCTGCCTCTGGAACAGTCTCTGTTCACTTTCCCTCTGCAGTCTGTAAATTCCTCCACCTTTCTCTGATCTCTGCCAAGCCTCAGGCTTAGAATTTCACTCCTCTCACTCAGAAAGGCTGCTGTCTATGCTGCATGAGTTTGGTCAGCTTGGACAAGGGTTTCGTGCTTCAGCGAATGACCGAGTGCACAGAGCCCCTGTTACGGTCTCTGTTTCTGCTTCCACATTTTACCCTTCTCTTGCCTTTCTGCCGTGATGGCCCACAGACCCTGTTCTTTCTCCTGATTGTCCCCTGTGTGTCACCTCCTGGAGGATGAGGGGGCTTTTGTGTCTCTTCATCCTGGAAGGACCGTCTCCATGTTTTATCCAAAAGGATAGAAAAAAGGGTTCGGACTTCTGGCCCATGTTACACCAAAATGAGGTGTATTTGCTGTTCTTCATAAAAAGTCATAATTCCAGCGGAATTTTATTCTAATTTTGGCTTTAAGATATTTTGTGGGGATGTTCTGTGAAAAAACGTGACACAATTTGAATGTGTGAGGTTAGGATTTCAGCTGGCTAGCAAGTAAGATGCTGCAGAAAAACAGACCAAAGAGCCATGTGTTGATTCTGATCATGCAGTGCAGCGACTTCTTGATTCTAGGACAATCCTGGGTGTGGTGACTTTTGGAAAGAACACGCTGGCACCATTGGGCAAGCCATACACAGTCTGTCACATGGGCACCTGCATACAATTCATAGACAAAAATTTTGCATTGGCCCTTGTTTTCTGAGTATGTGGACAGTTTCCTTACTGATTCTTTCAACTCTGAGAATGATAAACCTTTTCTCAGCATGGTTTCTAACCAGATGCTAACAGGAGGATATGCCTTACGCCAGTGTTCCCTGAGAACCTTCATTTAGGTAACATGTGACACATCCTCCAAAGGTAGCGTGAGCCTGGGCTTCAGCCTGGGGTGCGTCCCTGCGAACAGCACTGGCTCACACTGCCTTGGTGACACTGGACTTCGGGAAAGATGGGACCGGCAGGGAGGTGGGGTTGGTGCTGACTCTGGGAAACTCAGGAGAAAGCACTTCTACTGCTCCATCCTTAGGACTGACCTCACGTGCCTCACATATTTCCCGAGTGAGGGCCTTGGCCTGCTGCTCCCCGGGACAGGAGCACACAGGAGCACGGTGGGCAGCTGCTGCGGCTTCTTCCCCCGCCCACTCAGCATTTCCTCTGCTTGTGTTAGGTTCTTTCTCATCCTTTCCTCTCCTTTTTTTTTTTTTTTTTTTTTTTTTTTTTTTTGTCTTTTTCCTTTTTATCGGTACCGGGGATCGAACTCACGACTGCCTGCTTGCAAGGCAGGCGCTTATGCCGCTGAGCTAAATCCCCAGACCCCTCCTCTCCAGTTTTAAAACTGCAGCATCTCGAGCCCGTGAAGCATGGCCTGGTGTGCGGCCACTTTCACTCTTACCTTTGAGTCTATTTTCATGAACAAGAAGCCCTTTAGCTCTGCTCTGCCTTTAGCTCTGACCATCTCATAGATCTCCGGCCACCTGTCCTCGATTCATGGCCCCAACCCAGTGCAATCAGCTTTTATAGTGATATTCCACAGAAATGCCCTATGTGAAATGGGGAAGTCCATTTATTGTGCTTTCAACAGCGACTTTTAATGGGCTGGTTTCCCTCAGACAAGGCCATGGCATAGCAGGAAGTGAATCAGTTTCTGGAAGTGTTGTTTCCCAGTGTATGGTTGGTTTGCCCATTGCTTGGGGGATTTAACTATCTTTGGTCCATAATCTAAATTCTTTCCATGGCTTTATTTGGCCCCAAGGGAAGTTAACTCATGCAGTTTTGATGCAGAATCAATAACACAGAAGCAAAGCATTCTCTTTGAACAAGATAGATGGTCACATGGTGAAAAGCCCTAGGGTATTAGAATCCAGCCTACAGACAACTATGATAGAACAAGAACCAGCCAAAGCTTGGTTCAGAGCTCCCAAGTGAGGCTTGTGGCATGGTGCTACTTAGCACTCCACATTTGGTTGTCTCTATGGAGAACCAAAGAACTCAGCTTTAACAAAACATTAGTTCCGTCTGCACTAGAAAGGTAAGAAATTCAGTAGACCAGGAGACCAAGCAAAACTTGAAGATAAGAGCTTCCTTAGAAACCCTTGGTTCTCCAACATCAACAAGCCTGGAATAATTTCATAGGATTCAAAGTTTGGGTTACAACAGGTATCTATTGTATACCATATTGAAATTTCCAAGGGAAAAGACTTTAAGTGTTCTCACTGTGGTGGGTTCATGTTACAACAATATAGAAATCCAGGCAGCCAAATTGATAAATTTGGAATTTATTAACTGAGTTTAGGACCACTTGTATACAGACCCCCACCCCTAGTTCAGGATCCAAATAAGTGGCCCGGAACTGGAAAGTTACAGAGTTTTTAAAACGGAGAATCACAAGAGACATCCTGTTGCAAACAATTTAGCTAGAATCTTTCATTAATTTTCAGTTGACACCTGTATCCTGCTTCTTTTGTTGAGCAGGTTAATTTTTCTCCTGTAGGTACAGCTCATTCTGCTTTCCTCATGGGACTTGTACCCTGAGTAATTTTCCATTTTCCTGAATACAGGGCACTAGTTAAATTCAAGGCATAAGATGGCATCAGTTATGCCAAGCTACAACACTCACCATAAAAAATTATGTGAAATAGTGCCTATAATCTACCTGCTCCTCAATGTATTTGTATTCCAAGACATTATATTTATAATATTCTTTTTGCTTTGCTTTTTGAGACAGCCTCACTAGGCCATTCAGGCTGACCTTATACTGTGGTAATCCTCCTGCCTCAGCCTCCCAGGGGTTGAGATTATAAGCATGTGCCCACCACACCCAGCTTCTGTTTCACAGTGTGTGTTGGCCAGTGTACCTTGGAGGGCGGGGTGCTGTGTGGGGAGCGCTGGTGGTCTGTGTAGAAGCAGCTTCCCCGAGGTGCCCCTCAGCCCGCCCTGACCTCTCCCCCGCTCTGTGTTGCAGGATCACCACCACAGCAGCGTGCATGATGGACCTCAGGAGGTACCCGCTGGATGAGCAGAACTGCACTCTGGAAATCGAAAGCTGTGTGTATCTGTGTCTGCATTTCTTTTTCTTCACTCTATGTTTTAGTTCTTGTTATTTAGCAGCTTTTCCAAGGCCTTGAGAATGTTCTCAGCACACATTTTTAACTGTCTTAAAAGTTAGACGTTTAACTCCTGCTTGTAAATTTCAGTTTCATAACAGAGGGAGGGCAGGGCGAGAGGAGGGATGTTTAGACAGAGATGGACAAAGAAAGGAGAGAGGAGAGGAAGAAATAGAAAGAACTAGAAACACAGGGAAAGAGAGACAGTGACAGAGAGACAGTAAAAGGGGTTCTTCATTGTGATCTGACTAAGAGCCCCTCCCCCGGGCTGAGACACGGGAAAACACGCTCCCTCCCAGTGCATTTGGCAAGAGGAGGCCAACGCTGGGTGCAATTCTGTTCAATACCTTTCTTTTTTTTATTTAAAGAAAAAAACAAAACAAGACAAAGCAAGACAGTAAAAGGCTACAAGTAATACAGAATTTCAAGAGAAAAATTATACAGTAAGAATTCACTAGTACATAGATTACATATTGTCATCTCAGAAACAGCTGTCCAGGTTACAAAATTAAAGCATACCAAGTGGACATTAATACAGGGAGATAATTCTGTTCAATATCTTTCATCGCACACGGGCGGCTGCTCTGCTGGGACCTTGGATATACGGTGGGGGGGAGGGACTCATTTTCCCTCAGGACCTCAGCTTAACAAGCAGGCCGAGCTGCATCTGGTCAGTTTCTTCCACTTGAGGATATTCAGATGCTTGATTGATAACTTGGTGTTGAGTACTTATCCAGGAGGACAAGAGCCCAGTCTAGACCAGCTAAGAAGCAGATGTGCCTTCCGCTCCCTGAGCCACACCTAAAGGCGCGCAGGGTGCTGTGGCCAGTTTTGTTGTAATGCCGACCCATTGCAGACGGCCTTACTTTTGGCCAGTGGGGCTCAGGCCTGTCAGTGTCCATCCTGAAGTTCTAGTAGCGGGTGACCTTGCTTCTGCGACGTCACCCGATGCAGTGGTGAGGACATGGCCGTGCATGTGCGTAGAGACAGATGGCACGGTGGGTGGCTGGTGCTGGCTGGAGCCCGAGCGTGCTGTTCTGTCTCTTCCACACCGTGGTGTCACTGTCTTGTTTGCTGGGCACTGGCTTCCAGAGAAGAGGTCTGTAAACTCAGGTCAAGGGACGCATGACTGAATCATCTGGGGACATTCACCACAGACAGCACAGGGCTCCGGGAAAGACAATGACTTTCCAATGGACGATCCTGGGGTCCAGGTGGAGTAAATTCCTAGGCCATGGGGCACAGCTCCAATGAGACAATGAGAGTTTCAGGATTGCAAATTCAGGGTCTAAGTAAGGAAACCGCGTCTGTTTCAGCTGCCAGGACACATGGCAGCTTCTGAGAGGGTAGCTTCTATCGATGTGAGATGCATGCTGTGGAGGACAGGAAGCAGAAGGTCTCCAGTACAATGAGGCCCTCCCCCTGCACATAATCCATGCTTCTTGTGCACAGAAAAGGGCATTCTCCTGGTTATCTGTGGTCTCAGTCTTCACATCTGTGTATTGGGAGTGAAAAATAAAGCAGTGTGGTTATATTTCCTATATGGGGGCAAATTTGTTGCTCCAGGAATTTATCCAGAAAATGCTCACTGGATTTCAATTCTATACAGACACTTCCTTTTTGCTTTTGTTTTTGGGTGTCAAAGCCAGGGCTCTATACATATTAAGAATGAGCTGTACCACTGAGCTACCATCCCAGCTCCTGTGCAGCCACTAGGGTAAGTACAAGGACTATAGAGAAGCCAGGCAAAATAAAATACACACTTCTGCATGGAGATTCGGCTCCAGAAAGGGCAGCAAACAGCCCAGAAGTGAATAATGACAGGCGGTTTAAAGAAAATAAAGCCCGTTAGAAGAGCTGTGGGAGACTGCCGGCTTGCTGGGAGGTGGGCTCTCAGGGAAGGCTTCACTTGTTTGGATGATAAGGTAGGCAGGAATGAGTCCAAGGAATATCTGGAGTTGGCTTTGCAGGAAGCACCTTGAGCTGGTCTGAGCCGTAGGAGGAGACCAGTGAGGCTGGGCTGCTGCGTGAGGGACAGGCAGCACAAGTGCACGGGCCAGTTCCACAGGTTCACGAGGTCCTTGGAAGGACTGGTCTCTTGTTTTGCCAACTGAACTGGGGCACATTGAGGGTTTCACACCTAGGCATGCTAAGGCACGTATTTTATTAACGATCGTCAGGGCTTCCAGGCAAGAGTGGGTGGTGAGGGGAAGGGACACAGAGAACACAGTAGATGCAGGCACCGTGGTTTGTGCAGTCAGGAGAGCCATGGGGCTGAGGAGATGGCATCGACTGTGGAGCATCATCCTGTGGCTTGGCCCCTTTGTTTACTGCCAAATATTTTTGAGTGTCTATCTTTTTGTTAGATTTTCTCAAATGTAAAAATCTGTTATAGCAAAGACATGTCTTCAGATTTTAATCTATCTTAAAGGGTTGACCTAAGGCTCTGAGGAGACCCCTGGTCCTTACAGATAACATGGTCTTTATTGTCCAGGTTATTCATTCTCAGGAAGCACTGGATTGATTCCCAAGTGAGCTTGGGCACTGTGCCTGGAGCTGGCTTTGCAGGTGCAGTCTGGCTGACGACTACTCCTTTTTCTGATAGCATCAGGGGTCCCAGTCCCTCGGGGTGAGGAGTGTCCCAAAGAAAGGCCTTTCTCAGAGTGGCACCCTCACAGTCCGAAGGAACCCACAAAATCCTCAGAACATACTAGGACACCACTACTTTCGTTTTGAGAGCTGTGTGACCGACTGTCGGTTGGTTAATTTCTCCCTGTCTTGCAACATATTGGTAGCTCTTGGGAAGAGCGGCCCTTCCAGATTCTTCCTATCTGTGTCCTCCTCTCTTCTTCCCGCTATGCCTGTCCTTGCTGTTAAAATGTGTTTTAAATTCACTCCTGCGTGATGTCCAGACCAATTCTAAGGTTGACCTTTACAAACCAAGCTCTGATCCAAGCCCTCTGTGGCCCCATCTTGTTACTTTTTGAGATCAAACCAGTACAACTCACAGAGCATGAGTAATGCTAGAATGTGGGTGAATTAGTTCTCTGAAGATGCTTCACATAGATGAGCACATTCCTCATCCAAACTAACTTCCAATTTAGTAAAGTTTTTCCAGCTGTGCATTTTTATCGAATGACAATGCCTCACGTCTACTGCGTCTGGGCTTCTCTCTCCTGGTAGATGGCTACACCACAGATGACATTGAGTTTTACTGGCGTGGCGGGGACAAGGCTGTCACCGGAGTGGAAAGAATTGAGCTCCCGCAGTTCTCCATTGTGGAGCACCGACTGGTCTCGAGAAATGTCGTCTTTGCCACAGGTGAGTTGGGTGTCCACTCACAGTTTCATCCGGGCACAGATGGACAGGCATGGTGGTTTCTCTGTGAAATGGGAGGCTGCTCACAGAGGCACTGTCATCCGTAATTCACTGCCATACCAACCGTTTCTTCCATGTCCGAAGGGGCCCAATAAGTTGGGGTGGATAGGAAGTTCTTCCTAGCATGGCACACTTTCTGGCATGTGTTATGAAAGTCAAAAGAATGAGCATGGATCTGAGCAGCCAGTATTCCATAACGTCCTTGGGCAGACAAGAGGCACTCAATGGGCTCACGGCAGGGTGGAGGGGAGGGAAGACTAGGGAGCTGGGTGTTCTCCTCCCGGAGTGGGCTCCAGCTGGAGGTCCGCCTTGATGGCCGGGCATACGGATATGATAGTTAGCCTTGCCCTTTAAACACGGCCACTTTCTGATAGCATCCTGTGATGCCCTGGCCTGGGCTTTCTGTCATTCTTGCTTCAGCTATTAAAAAGGTAAGGCAGTGTCTTCTGCTCTTCTGCCTGTCCTTTCTGAGGACAAAATTTACAAAATCACAGCTGTGTGCACTGGATGATGCGCAGTGCTTTCTTGGTAGCTTTGTCTTACTGAACGCTGTGCCTGCCCGGTAGGTCAAACACTGATTGAAAGAGCTGTGTGAATCTAAGGCACCGCCAAGCCCACAGGCTTGGGGTGACAGCGCCAAGAGAAGCCAGAGCTGCTTTCCCCTGGAGCAGTTCCTGGGAGGACCTGGCCCTGGCCCTGGCCTGGGCGATATGCACAGAGCTGGCAGTCTGCTCCCGCTCCTGGAGACTGAGGGCTCCTGACCCTCAGCCCTTGCTTCCCTTCTCGCCAGCCAGCTTTGTCACTGGGTGCCACTTTTTCTAAGAAACCTTTCTGACTGCTCTACCCAGAAGAGCTGCCGGGCTGTGTCTGGAGATGCTCCGCATATTCACACCGCCTCAGGAGGGCACTGTCCTGGTCCTTGTCCCCTCCTCGCCATTGTCTGATACTATGGCAGTTGTCCCTGAGTGGGTGGACACTGTGTCATCAGCATTGCCCCTCTCCACTCCCGCCTCTGAGAGTCAGTCAATGCACATAAGAAGTGGAGACAAAACTCAGCCAGGCCCATTTCCATGCGGTGCTGTTTTATCCTCTGTGCCCAAGGGGTCCTGAAGTTGCCCCTCAGCCTCTGTAGGGGTGAGGTGTTCCCCTCATAGGTGGTGAGAGATGGTAGGCAGTGACGCTCAGCATTACAGAATAGTGTCCTCAAGCAAGAAAACTGCCCCGAGATGCATCGAATAAGGGACTTGCATATGTAAACCTGGGTGTAATCTGTTCCATGCTGCAAGCATTGTGACTCAAAGGTCTGCCCAGAACACAGGGCTCGCATCCTCCAGGCAGGGCCATGCCTTTCTGATTTTGTCCAGAATGTGACAGTTCTGGCCGCCGGAATATTGGCACAGAATATTAATTCGTATTCACTCAACTTCATCAGAAAGTGTACAGAGGAGCTTGGGCAGGGCTTGACTCCCTGGCATTGTGTAGCTGCTGAGACTGGCCTTTCTGGACCCACCACCGCTCTCTACCGGGCATCTCTGTCTTTCAAGTGGGTGTACAGTAGAGCACATGTAATGACTGGCCAGAGCCACGTGTACACGGCAGTGGGAGGGGAGAGTTTAAGCTCTTTATATACCCACTGAGCCATCGGGATGTAATATCATGTCTTTCTTCTGTGTATCCTGGACCTGAGTCTGCCAGGAATACATGAGATTTCCCAACCCTCACATGTAGACCCTCCTAGTCTTGGAAGAGCTTGGCCTTTAAAATCATTCTAAGGTCCCATACAGGAAGAAATGGCATGGACTTCATCACCGTAACATGTTAAAATTAAATCTTGTGCTTGTATTTTTCCTTTCCACAAGTGTCCCGGATTAGATTTGGATCAGTCAGCGGGACTGGGGATATGCTGGCCTAAGGAGGAGTGGCCAGCACAGGGATGAGGAGGGACCAGGCTGGGTGGACAGTGACTATGTGTGGCTTTGATCGGGCTGTTGATGGGCAGTCACTGCCCCTGAGTCTGCAGGGTAGTTGGTGGAAGATGGACGCCAGGGCATGTGGCCTGCCAGATTTCAGGGGAGACCTATTCTCAGAGCCAAAGAAGGGAGCTTTTGTGCCCTGCCCCAATCACCCTCATCCTCGAGGGGTCCTCTGAGGACCTGTAGATGGCCCTCACTATGAGGACAGTAGCCCCGACCCAGGTGGTAGGCTATGGTGCTGAACACCGTACAGAGGAGAGTGGTGACTCCCCACTCAGCCCTGGCACATGGCACTTGGCATGGAAGGACCAGGACTTGTCCCATGTGACTTCTCACTGGCCCTGCTTGGTCTCAAGACTTTCCAGTGACTTCCTGGCATCTGTCACCTACGTGAGGTTAGCAGGAATTAAACCACAGTAGGAGAGCTCCCTGTGATCTATTCAAGAGGTGACATGGACAGACAAGGGCTGTGGCCCAGTGTTAGAGCACTTGCCTGGCATGTGCGGGTCCTGGGCTCAGCCCTCTGTACCAGGATACATAGAGAGGGTTTACGAATTGGATCTTAGGCTCAGACCTATACTGCTAGGTTAGCTAGCAGCATAATCCCATTGAGATTATTCTTCCTGTCTGCAAACAAAGATAAGCACAGCATCTATTTGAGAGGGCTGTTGGGAGCTTACAGGAGTTGGCTAAATGTTGGGCCTGGCACAGGGCTGGCTACATGTAGTGGGAACACTTTAACCATCATGATTGATGTGTGTGGGGCCTGGAAGGAGGAATATTTTGGAGACTGAAAATAGACTATGTAGTAGTTGATTAGAGCTTTGCATATAAAAAATAATCACATTTTTCTGGACTGTTGGATGTTAGGTAGCAGAAGCCTTACTGCTTGCTTGAAGGATTCTTAAGATCAGAGATTCTCGGGGTTTAATTAATACATACCCCAGGGTCCACTCCACTTATTATATAACTTGAAAGTGAATGGTTATTGAATTGAGAGAAGAAATCCAACCAGCATTACCAAGTATATACTCAAATGAATCTTTTCTGGAAACTAGATAATATGTAAGTGAATTATATTAAATACTCATATAGTTAATGCTCTGAAATATCACATGCTGAAGGAAAGTCTCCATAAAGCTTCTTTGGTCCTGGGTAGAAATTAAACATACCTTTGGTCAGGAGGTGAGAAGTGTGCTCTATAGCTGTGTTCTAACTCATGAAAGAACCAACTAAGTGAAATATTGTAGAAAATAATTACTCAGTTCCAAAAAAGATTCAGCAAATAAATGTCTTTTGGAGAAATTGTTTCAGCTGGTTTAGAACTCCAGAAAAAGTGATGCAGGACTGCATTACTGTAAACTCAGCTACAATGATGCATGCTATCTTGTAATTTTGTAGCATTTGAAAACCTTTGAAACAGATTTATTCGCTAATGTACCTGGGAGACTGAGAGTTGACAACTCCAGTCACTTAGAGCTTAAGGAAGTGAAGGGCTGGGAACGTAGAGTGGTAGAGGCCTTGCCTAGCAAGTATGAGGTCCCGAGCTCCATTCCAAGTCCCTCAGTAAAACATTATAAAATAGGGATAATGCTTTGACTAAACTTACAAAGCAAAACTAGAACAGTGAAGACAGACATTGATTCCCAAGGCTGCTGATTCACAGGAGCCCCTGGTATATTTTTTTTAATAAAGATTTCCCAAACTAGGCTTCGTAAGGTTTTAAGATTTAAGATTGCACACATTCATGTTATAAAGGTTCCCACCTAAAGCACAGATATGTAAACTGTAACAGGAAATGCTGAAAGCTGCAACTCTGATGTGGCGAGCAGTGACCTCAGTGTCTGGATGTCTGCGCGCCAGCGTCTCCCTCCTCTGTGGTCCTGTGTTAGGGTGTAGGTGAGCTGGGCTGTTGTACAGGTTTCCAAAACCTGACACCAGGATTATACGGCCGTGGAGCCTGACTCTGGGCCTGGAGTCTCTTAATCCATGGTAGCCATCTATAGCCACGCCTGGGCCCTAGCTGTGGCCTGGCGCCTCACCTGCCGCGTGGGTCCCTAACCTCATCGTCTCTGCTTCAGTTTAGGGTAGGACGCCTGCATTTTAGCTGTCCCCATTAATCCCCGTCCTTTCTGTAGTTGTTCACTTCTGCGTTCTATTTCTCAGCTTTGGCTCCTATTTGATATAGTTTCTCTTTTTTTCTTCTTCTCCTCATGCTTCTCCTCCTTCTCTTCCTCCTCCTTTTTCTTTGTATCCCAATGTAGTGCATTCTCAGTGATCAGTTTAAGTACAGACCTTTCTGCTCACTCTTCCTCGAGCTTCTCTGCTGGTTCTCTTTCCTTTGGGAAACTTTGAGTTGTATCTGGCATCACTTCTTTTTCACCCATCATGTATTATTGCTCTCACACCGATGTAAATCACGTATTCTATAAAGCTCTTTTCAGTGAAACTGGGATTACTTTAGATCTTTGAAATTCTTTTGATTAAAACTTGAAAAGGTGATTGGCTTTCTATATAAACTTTAGAAATACTGCAAGATTTCACTTTCCAAAATATTAAGCATTATCAATTAAAATTCTGACTTGAACATGTCTCTCAGAAGAATATTTAATAAATCAAACACTGTGTCATTTCTGATGAGTGAAATTACAAGCAATGATTGAAGCAGGAATCTCACTGAAAGAAGTCTTCCTCACCGTTTTATCTGATTTCTGTTTAGTTAGACATGGTGACTGTGTCTGTTACTAAAACACTTGAGGTGTGTCCAATAAGTATTTACTTAATGTCTTTAAACAGTCTGATTTCAGGTGATCAAAAGAAATGTGAGAACTTAAATTGTCAAATTTCTTTTTTTTTTTTTGTCTTTTTCCTTTTTATTGGTACCAGGAATCGAATTCACGACTGCCTGCTTGCAAGGCAGGCGCTTACGCCGCTGAGCTAAATCCCCAGCCCCTAAATTGTCAAATTTCA